AAGAACCATTGTTGACTCTGTCATTTGCTCATTATTAATTCACCTGTTCTTCATTTTTTTATTTTTAAAAGCTGAAAAGGATTCAAAGACGACATTGAAGGGAGGCAAAGGGAATTCTGCTCTGGGAAATCAGAGCTTTCCTGGAGGTTTTCTTCGCAATTTCTCCTGCCAAACAGCGGATCAGTGAGAATAGACTCTCTTTTCTTTTCTCTTACCATGAGAAGAAGCTATCTTTGCTTTGCTCAAAGTGGGCTATCTTTCGTGCAGGCGCACTCTCCTTCTGAGTCCTGCTCGGCAGTTCGCAGAGCCCACATGTACCAGCAAGACTTCACAGCCTGGAATGAATTGATCATCACACGGGCAACCCCTGCCTTCGTTACTGGGCCAGCAGGTATGTAATCTTCCAAATTAATCATGTGTCACAAGTCTTCTCTGCTTGCCCAGTTCCTCTTCCCAGACCTTAAGCCTCAGGCTGCGTTGTAGAAAATGTTTAAAGAAAAATTTACATGACCATATGAAAAGCGACTAAAACCCAATAGAAAAAAATATCGGTAAGCATTTAAAATTGTAGGTGATGGTTAGATTTTGATACAACTTAACATACCTGGGTGAAGGTAGGGGTGGAGCCCCGCCTATGAATCAGGTCACAGCCTGATGACACCTCCTTGGCGTTGTGGCCTTTGAATAGGAGAGTCCCTGAGCAGGCACGTGCTCTTCTTGACCCCTCACTTTCTGGTGAATCAGGATCCTATGTCTGGCTCCTTGATTTCCTGTTATATCGCTTGCTGGTCCTGGGAACCATCAGCCAACTGCTGACCTTCAATTCTTTCAGCTGACCTTGGGGTCTATCACCTGCATCCACCAGCCTGTGCCCTTCTTTCTTCCTCTTCCAACTGACACCCGACCAACAGGTTTGAACCGGACTGGACTTACCTACTTCTACAACTGTGTAAGCCCTTTCTCAATATGACTCACTTTCTATTTATTTTTTAAAAATCATTTATTTAAAAATTTATTTAAAAATTTATTGGGGGCTCATACAACTCTTATCACAATTCATACATACATCAATTGTGTAAAGCACATTTGTACATCTGTTATCTCTTTCTATTTATATACACACACAAGTATCACTGATTTTGCTTCTCTAGGGAACCCAACATAACACACTAGTACAACATTCAAATGGCACCTTGGGAATATCTATCACAATTTTTTAGTAGGAGGGAAGGGAACTCAAAAGGTTGTGGGAAAATGTAGTTAAAAGATAATGTAATTTTCCCACAGCCCCTTTGAAGCTCCTTCTACTTAACTCCATTGACCTGTAACTGAGGAGCCATGAGGTCAGGCTCCAATATGTTGAAGGAAACCCACTAACCAAGCCAGATGCCATTGAGTCAATGCCAATTTGAGGGATCCCATATGCGCAGAGTAGGTTTCAAGGCTCGGTGGAGGCAGACTGGGAGGCTTTCTTCTGAGCCCCCTGGGTGGGCTCCACCCACTCACTTTTGGTTTGCAGTCGAGTATTCGTTTCTGCCCCAGGCACTCCCACTCTGCCGTGGAAGACAAGGGTTTGATTGAGTACAGTTGAAAGCAGTTTGGAGAAATGACTCCTGCCTTTATATCCAGAATTTGGGACATTAACTTCTTTGATATTTGGAACTCAGCATAAGAATTACCCTTTCCATTCCTCGTACAGCTTTCTATTAGGATTTGGATATCTTCATTTTTTTATATAAAAAACTGTTGCTGTTCTCTTGGATAGGAAGAGTGAAGGGATTAGACACATTTGTGAACTTAATGTAGTATGACATTAATTATCGTATATTAATTATAGAAAAATGAGAAGTAGCCCACATGAAATGGAAGACTTAAAGATTGATATCTTAGACATAAGTGAACTGAAATAGACTTGTATTGGCCATTTTGAATTCGACAATCCTGTGGCCTATTGTGTTGAGAATGACAAATTGAAAAGGAATGGCATTATACTCATCACAAAAACATTTTAGTATCTGTCCTGAAGTAAATTTAATCACTGATAGTGACGTCATACAACTACAAGAAATATCAGTCCACACAAGTATTATTCAAATGTATGCACCAACAATTTATGGCAGAGGTGAAAAATGTTTCCATCTTAGGTAGTCTGGTAGTATAGTGGTTAAGACTTGGGCAGTTCGAAACCACCGGCCACTCCATGGGAGAAAGACAAGACTGCCTACTCCCATAAAGAGTTACAGTCCTGGAAACCCACAAGGGAAGTTCTACCCTCCCTGTAGGGTTGCTGTGAGTTGAAATAGACTGGATGACAGTGAATTTGGTTCTGGTATGTAGTCTGAAATTGGTTAAACATACTATCAAGATGTGTTGATAATTACTGGTGATTGGAATGCAGAAGCTGGAAACAAAAAGCATCGGCAATCGGGAAGTTTAAGGAAACAACTCTGGAGATTGCATGACAGAATCTTGTCTATTACCTTTCATTGGACATATTTTCAACCACGTAAACATGACTACATACACAGATCTCGCCAGATGGAACATACAGAAATCAAACGAGCTACATCTATGGAAAGAGATGATGGAGAAGTTCAATATTATCAATCAGAACAAGACCAGGGGCTGACAATGGAACCATCAATAGTCCAGATGTAAGTTCAAATCAGAGTTGAAGAAAATGAAAGCAATCCAGGAAAGCCAAAGTATAGCCCACCTAAACTTAAAGATGATCTGAGGAATACATTTGAGACTTCTGGAAAGATGGCAGATGAGGAAGACAGGCTACCCAAGCACCTCTCTACAACAAAGACCCTTAAAACCAAATGAGGGCGTGAGGGAAGGGAACCGGTGACCAGGCAGAGTGGAAGGCAGGAGCACATCCCATCCTCACTCAGCCTCTTCCTCATGTGTTCCCCAAACACTGATAATCAGGTCCCCAACCTCCAGCCCGGAAACCAAGAGTAATACAGGAACTCTATGGGACCCAGAAGATTCTGATATCCCTGCTCCCCATTAGACTCCGAGAGAAGCTGGCAAAGCAGCATGTGTTCCCTCCACCAGCCCATTCATATACCACCCACACATATCACACATATACACATCTGTGCTCACTCACACTCACTCTCACACTCACACACACTGACTAACATACACTCACACAATAACCCACAGGTGGATAAGAAAACAAGCAGCTCTGTGAATGGAAAGGGGTTATTTCTGGGGAGGGAAAAAGGGAAGGAACAAAAAGTGGAGGAGGAATGGGTTGAGTCAGCAGCTCTTAGTCAAAGCACTTCTTGAATCATATACATATAAAAGTTTCTTAAAAATACAAACCAAATTAGAAAAAAAGAAAACAAATGAAATAGACACAAATTATATTAATCACACAGAGAAAGAATTGGACAAAAACCCAACACCTGTTCCAGTTAAAAACACTCAACAAAAGAGGAATAGAAAGGAAATACTCAACATAATGAAGGACATATAAAAAAAACCAATCGCTGTTAGTCCCAGTGGTGCAAAACGGAAAATGGGAACCGGACAAAGATACCCTTTAACATCAATCCTACTCAACATTTAGGAGACTATAAGTCTAAATTCAAGGCTCACTCTGTTGGCTCTGGAGACAGGTCCTTGTTCCTCAATTCCTTGGTGACCTTCAGGTTCTGCGACATCTGTCTTTCCCCATTTCTGCTTCTCACTTACTTGTTTAATCTCTTGACAAGATTAAGACACACCCTACACTACTCGTGTCTCTCTGACAACCCAAACCCATTTCCAATTAGGATTATAACTACTGGTATAGAAGTTCAGAGTTAGAATACATATTCTGAGTGGCCAGAAGGCAAATCATAATCCTCACCATTAACATTTGTCACTCTTTAGGGTAAAGATGGTGAGACCAAGATGGGATGGGTTATACATCCAAGGTTGATAGTCAAGAATATATTTGATGCTTTTTTGAGCTTGACTGTGCACTCATTAGAATGGGATCTTAGAACTTTTTCCTGGAGAGAAAGTAGAAAAATATGGATATATCAGTTAGGAATACTGCTAGTTACAGGCAACAATAACAAGATATGACTAGTAGTAGCATTAAAACGAAGGTAAGTGGTTGCTGGCATTGATTTACCAATCAATGATACTATCAAATATTAGACTATCTTTCTGTTCCATCATGTTTGATGTAGACTTTTTGCCCTACTGCTTGTCTTGCTCAAGGCAAAAAGGAGAGAGAGATGGTGCTAGTTATCAAAAAAATAAAAATTATCGAGAGCCCCCCCAGGAGATGTATGCTTTCAGTTCACCGGTGAGCATTGGAACACAGCCATTCCCAACTACAAGGGAAACAGAAAGGAGTGCCAGGCTCCAGACCTCCCTAGGGGGAGAATGAAAGAGAGCAGGACATGGGAGATGGTTTTGTGTTAATTAACCCGCATGGTTGGCCACACTGACCAAGTGGGAGGTGGTTTGTAACCAAACTCATCTGGTATATTTTGAGCAGTATCTTTCTTGTCTTAGTACAATACAGTGCTATCCTTAATGCGCTATGCCAAACTGTAACATAACCCGACTGCACTTAGACCTATTGCACTGAGGGATTGTAAAGCAATACCATTGTCCAATCACAGTATCCTAATTTAACTCTCAATTTTTGTATTGGATCAAAGAATACATTCACACGTATTTCAAATTGCTGATTATACACACACACACACACACACACACACACACACACACACACATATATATATAAGGAAAGGAGACTTTTTATGTATTCTGTGATTTCTTTAAGTCTTGAGATGCCTTCGGCAAGGTTTCAGGGATGGATTAAGAGACAGGGAACAGGAGAAAACAGAAACCAGGTGGGTGAACATTTTTAAAAGAAAAAAATGCTAAGGAATATTGTTCCAAGGATTTGTTGAAAGTAGGTTCCGCCTGACGGCAACCCGAGGAGTACCAATAGCCATAGCTGGGGTCACTGAGGCCCAGTCATGATGTTTGGGATTGAGGGCCTCGTGCCAAAGCTGGACCAGGAGGAAATGCTACAGAAGATGCGAGAGGACGGCAGCTCCTCCACAGGGAATTTTCTGAAACCTGTGGCCCTGCTGCGAGTCACTCCATGTATCTTAAAGAAATTGAATAGCATCTGAAGCTTTGACATCCTGGGGAATGTGTAATGTGAAGAACCTGGTTCTGTCTTCCCATCTGAAAATGAACAGACTCAATGATACACAAGACTGTTTAAATGGACAAGTTTGCTCCAGTGACTGACTCTATAAAACTAATTGGGAAATATGAAAGGATTTCTTGTGGTCATATTGCATCGTTATGCCTCTATGAATGTTGATATGACTGTAAGTAATGTCCAACTCCTTTTTCTAGCAAGTTTCAATGATGGGCTCCAGGCTGGGCACATTTGTGAGGTTGGCACAGGGCCCAGCACTGTTTCGTTCAGTTGTGCGTCATGGGCTGGAACTGATTCAATGACACCTACTAACAACCATATCAATTATAAGTGTCTGAGGTACTTCTAGTTTGACCGTCGTCCCTGTGCACCTTTTTATTTCTGTCCACAATGTAATTGCGAAGAGTCCATTACAATTAGTTATGCTTTTTGGAAGTCACCACAGAATCACAATGATAACTGAGCACAGAATCATGTGTCTACATTTTAAATAAATATATCAATTTTTTAAAATGGTGATGGAGGCAGAGAAAAAAGAAAGTAGGCTCAAGGAGACCCTAAGAAAAGAAATTGGATCTCGAGAGTACAATTTTATTTTATTTAAAAAAAAAAGGGTATTTAATATTTAAAACTAGAAGGCCAAAGCATTGGGAATTATTACAGGCCAATTAAAAATGTAAATCATTTGATATTTAAATAATTGTAATGAATGTATACTCAGAGTATCTGAAATCTCATGACCTGATGATGGTCCTAGTCCACAGATAGAATTGCAGAAGGGAGAACCGAGCACTGGGAAAAGTTTCCTGCTGTTCTCACGGGTCACGAGAATTCGCTGTCCTTGTAGCACAGTTTATGTGTTGATGGATGCTTCGGACTATAAGCAATAGAAAACCACCTTGACGTGGCTTAACCAAGGGGGTTTTATTCTCTCACATAATCAAGTCTGGAGGCGATTCCATCTCATCATTAGGAACCAGGCTCTTTCCATTGTTTCGGGGAAAGCCTGTTGAGTTTCCTCCTCGGGGCTGACTCCTCATGTTGCAGGAGTCCTGTCCTCATACAACTGCGACAAGGCCAGGCGGGCAGGACGATGTGACCCTTCATACTAGTGACGGGATGGTCCCAGGTTTGTTTCGTGTGTCCATGCAGTAACTCACCCCACGGCGGCGAAGGTGTTCTTTTGGAAGAATGAGTAACTAGCATTTGCAAGTCTGCTGTGGGAGACAACCTCATATGCTAAAAATGAAATGGGTTAAATTGTGAATGTCTGCGCGAAGTAATAAATCTAGATTTATTTATACCAGATTGTAATATAATCAAAACAAGCTCACACCAGGTTGAAATCATATACTCTGTCCTTTCTTTACTCCTCAGTGTAAACATGGCTCTAAAGCCAAGTGGCCCATAGTTTGCCTTTCCATTCACTTTCTGCTAAGAGATGTGTGACTGGCCCTGGCAGGACTGCGGTGGTCTGAACTCGCTACCACGAGTCAACACTGACTCTCAGCACCCCCTGCGGTTTCCAGGACTGTAACTGTGTACAGGAGTAGAAAGTCAAGTCTTTTGCCCGAGGAACTTCTGGTGGTTTCAAACTGCCGACCATGTGGTTCACAACCCAACACCCCACCAGGATTCCATAGGATTGGGGCAAGTTGACAGGATGGGGATGGGGCTATAGTTGAGGTACATCATGAATTTCCTTATTTGATGGTAAGGCAGAACATTCCCAGTTGACAGGCATGTTAGGCCAGCCCTTTAGAGAAGCAAACCAATGACATTTGTAAGTATATGTCTATGGAGCAAGATTTATATCAAGGAATGGCTCACTCGGTGGTAGAAGTGGGCAAGTCCTGTCCCGTTAATATGGCATAACATCGGGCATGGGAGGGCAAAGGAAATGGTTACAAAAGCAGGTCAATACATCACAATTAGAGGTGGTACTGTAGGAATGGGACCATGATGGGGACAAGTACATTGTTAGATGATACAAGAGTTTCCAAGATTGGTCTGGGGCCTTCTGACCAAGGCAATTGGGATTTTGTGACAAAACACCCTCTACCCCCCCCTTCCTGCACCCCTGGTACCATCCCCAGTATGGTGACCTCCATCAGGACACCTCCAGCAAGCCTGTAAGAGAGAGAGTGCCTCTCCTTGCGCTGGCCAGAGAGCAGGGGAAGCACCCTATTTTCCAAGGCAGTCAACATCATTGGTTAATGATCAGAAAGCATTCAATGGAGGCTTAATTTAGGTGGCGACTCTGTGCTGTCATTTGCCATTCATACCCTTCTGCAAACCTGGGTGCTCAGAATTTAAGCTCCAATACACCTGTCACTGCCATCGATAGCCTTTTGCAAAGCAGGACACAGAGAATTTAAGCTCACCATGGCCCACAATATCATGTAGTTGATTCAGTGTGTAATAGCACTATGGAAAAGTTTGAAGCTCATGAGAATTACCAAAATGGGACACAGAGACCAAAAGGGAGCACATACTATTGGGAAAATGGCAGGCATAAAAGAGCTCAATTTGTAAAAATTCCAGTACCTGCAAAGCACAGTCAACTGAAAGGCAACAAGACAAGGCATACCTGTAAACTGCAACTGTATTTAGTGGTAGAATTCTTTTTTTTTAATTTGTCATTTTATTGGGAGCTCTTAGAGATATCATAATATTCCATCACTCAGTCACATCAAGCATAAGGTGACCAGATTTAAAGCGGGACACCATTGACTGGGTGGGGGTGGGGGAGGTTCTTGATTAAAAAATTGGTCTATATGGACCAAATAGACCATTCCCGAGCTTGTCGTGCATTCTTTCAAACAATCAGGACTTTTAAAAAACACCAAAAAGCGGACTGTCCCACCAAAAGCGGGACGTCTGGTCACCTTATTCAAGCAGTATGGTACGATTGCTACCACAATCAGTTTCAAGACAGTTTCTTTCTTCTTGAACCCTTTGATATCAGCGCCCCTTTATCCCCACCCTCCGCAACTGCCCTTTTCTTTTCCTATAATAGTTTCCCCCCATAGCTTACACAATCCAGTATACCCCTTCAGATACAATTCTGTTGTTTGGTCCCATCGAGCAGACGGCATTCGCGGTCTGGCCAGCAGCAGCATGCGACCTCTCTGCCAGGCAGTCTGTTCTGACTCACAGTGACCCTAGAGGTCAGCATCCAACTGCCTTGTGGGTTTTCAAAACTGAACCCTTCCAGTAGAAAGCCTCATTTTCATTTCTCTCAGAGCAGCTGGTGGCTTTGAACTGCTGACTTGGCAGCGAGCAGCCCAACAGGTAGGAGGGAAACAATGTCATGGGAAGGTAATTCATTCCTTCCAGATCGAAAACTCTTTTTTTTGGCGTGTGTGTGTGTGTGTGTGTGTGTGTGTGTGTGTGTGTGTGGTGGGGGGGGCGGGGCGGGTGGTGGTGGTGCTGGAGGACAAAAAGGAGATAGGAGGGAACCCCACAGTGAATTTCAGGGCTCTTCTCTCCTTCTCCCCTGGGGGCCTGCTGGAAGGGAAAGTTCACTCTGGTCTTTTGTGGCCTTGAGCTGTTCCTCTTCACTACCCAGGACAAGGAGCTTGTGCTGCCCACCCCCACCCCCAGCCCCAGCCCCTCCCAGCCCTTAGGCTTCCTGTTCTGCTACCTGCCGCTGATGTCTTTAGTGTCAAGGCCCAACATGTTGTTGTGTCAGCATTTCTGCTTCCCCAGGTCTCCACCTACCCCTGGGTGGAGTTGGGGTGGGGAGAGGTCAGAAATTTTACTTGCTTTCTTAACTGGGTGAGGTCTGTAAGGATTTCTGAGACAAATTAACCTATTCGTGAAAATAATGGTGATACATTTAATCATAAATAATGAATGGAAAAGGGACCGCGTAATCTTTATCAGATTCCTCCTTTCTTTTTACAAGGTTCATGGAGTTGTGATTTTTGTAGAGGAAAATACGAAGCTGCCTTGCTTCTCAAGGTCCTCTCTTCTTCCATAGGAGCAAAGCCAGAGATAAGCGTGTCCCCTGGGGGAGGAGGTTTGCTTTCAGTATTTCCCTCTCAGAGCCCTGCTGACCTCGAGGAGTCAGCACTCAGGGCTGAGCCAGTGTTGGAAGGCCTGGCTTCAGTGACAATGAAAACCCCAAACCTCACTGCCACCGAATAGATGCCAGCTCATAGCGTCCCTGTAGGACAAGGTAGAACTCCTCCTGTGGGTTTTGGGGACTGTAACTCTTTTGGGAGTAGAAAGCCCGGTCTTTATCCCTCATAGAGGTTGTTGGTTTCAAACTGCTGACCTTGTGATTAGCAGCCCGATGTATAATCACTATGCCCCCAGGAAGGACCAGTGTTGACTCCCTCTATAGCAAAGCATGCCACCAGGCGTCTGGGTGGTGTGCCAATTGTACTTTTACTTTTTTTTAATACGCAGTTTTTGAGTTTTTTAAAACTAGTTTTAAAAAATGAGCTACGTGCTACAATTTCTGAATGTTCTTCACATCATTCAACGAAAGAGTGCTGAAGGGCGATAGTGTAGATGATTAAGTACACAGGACTGTGAAAGTTGTCTGATGCGAGGGGACAACCCCACTGCACACCTGTCCTGATTTTAAACCAGGCAGTATGCCCTTGTTCTCACAGCTCCTCTTGGTCCACGTGCAAGTTCTTCATGTTCTGAAATTCACATTCATCTCAAGGTTATCCATAGTTTGTTTTGGTCCACATATACTTGTTCAATGTGTGTGTGGGGGGTGGTGGTGTAGTTTTTATTAATTTTTTAAATCATTATATTTAGGACTCTTATACCTCTTGTAACATTCCAAACATCAATTGTATCAAGCATATTTGTACATCTGTTGCCATCATCATTTTCTAAGCAGTTATTTTCTATTTGAGTCCTTGATATCAGCTCCTCTTTTTTCCCTCCCGCCTACCCTCTCATCCTTGTGACCCCGTGATAAATGATAAATTATGATTGTTT